AGCAGACCGCCTGTGCGTTCCACACACACCTAGTTCGTGCACAAAGGACCACGATTTCACACAACCCGGGAAGGTGGGCAGCTCGGATCCCAACCAAGTGGGAGTGCCATGGAAACCACGTTAAGAAGGCGCTACTGCGGCCTGCCTGTCCGTCCTGAGAGGAGGGCCGATTTATCCAGTCGTCAGTCGACAGCCTTCCAGGCCACGTCTTTCAACGCACTGTAATAGTTCAAAATAGCGCGTCCGTTTGTTTATAGTGAGGAATATGCGCTGAGGGTCGAGCTCACTCTGTGTCCTTCCCAGGCACCAGTCCGCTGCGCGAGCTGGTCAGTCATCTAGTGAAAACGGCTGAAAGCTGAATAGCAGGTCTTCTCGTGTCACATACTGCCTGGCCTCCACACAATAGGTTTTCCTACAAACGGGTTTAAAATCGAACGTCTACGCGCGCCACACGTTTTCAAATGGGTGGGATGGGCTGCTCGGATGTCACGTGCGTTGAAGTGCCATAGAGGCAGCATGGAGGTGTCAAGGACACGCTTCCCACCTATATGAGAGGTGGCCATTCCTTGACTGTGGTAATGAAATAGGACGGAATCAGACATGGCGTGTTTTGGTGGGAGAGGTTTGGTGATGGAGTCTGGTCTGCCGTGTCTTACCGCATATTACCATAAAGGCGTATACGACCGAGCGGATCCATGCGTCGATTGAATTTGCGCGGGCAGTTGGGGCTGGTGCGACGGGTGTGTTGGTGCTCTCAGCACCGGTTCGTCAGTCTCTGCGACGAATTCGCAAGTAACCGACCGGACCGATGCGCTATGTGCATGTGTGATGGCATACGGTGGACATCGTCGAAATCGACGATCGAACTGTCGGTGGGCGCAGGGCGTCCTTTTAGCGTCGTTGTTCTCCACCTTGTCAGCGAATGCCTGTAGCAATGCATTTGTGGCAAAGTCACTTGAGTAATCGGTGACCGCCAATCCTCATGAGGTGGCCGACCCATCTCATAGACAGCTGCTTCAGCATGGCGAGGATTCCGGTCCGTTCTGGGACTTTCGCGTTGGGGAACCTATCCTGTCACCTTGGCTTCGGAATTCCACGCAGACAACCGAGATAAAAGTGATTGAGTTGCCTGGCTTGATTGGCTTGGGTAGTCCTTACTTCCACCCCTACAGTAGCGTTGTCAGGACTACCGTCCTGCATATTTTGACTTTTCTGCTGCGTCGAAGCCCATGGTGGTTCCAGACTGAATTCTTCAGATGGCAAAAGATCCGACTAACTTTGGAAGGCCAATGGGCCGCTTCATCATCGATCTTGATGTCTTTCGATATGGTGCTGCTTGGGCAGGCGAGCGTATCCAGCGATGCGAGTCGCATTTAATTCATGTTGATTCTGGATGTAGCGTTCTCTTATTCCGGTGCTGGTTGATGCATGACCACCGTCTTGGCCGTGTTGGTGGTCAGCTTGAAATTTGCGCTGCTGGAGACTAAGAGGTTCGGGTTTCTTTGCATGGCTACTTCTGCTGTGATTTTGAGTGCACAGTCTTTCGCGAGGAGGAGTGTATGCACAGTGGTTGTTGGTGTTTTTGTCGGATATTGAATGGCTAGCAGTCAGTCTTGTAGGAGATGCTGAAACCGGGACGCTTATTACTGTGGGCGTCCATCAGCATGGCAGGGAACATTGAACTGTAAAGGGTGTGAGCGAAAACAGAGCCCTTTTTTTTAACTCCATTGGAACGGTTCCACTGTCCATGGCGCGTGCCATCACCCGGTGGTGAGGCTGACGCGCCGTGCGCGTGTAACGCTCCGGACATCTGAACTTCAATATGATCCGCTGGATCACGCGGCAGTTCACGGTGTCGAATGCTCTTGTCAGAGCCTGGAAAGTTGCGTAAAGGCCGGTGTATATTTTTCAGCAATTCTCTTGCAGTTGCCAGTCGCCGAATATCAAGTCGACAGTACCACGATTTTGTCAAAGTACACAGTGGAATTCAGGAGGAGTTCTTGTTTCAGGTGGTCATTGAGACCATTGAGGAGGGTACACACGAAGCTTTTTTCTGTGATTTAGGGGAGGGGGGATTTGGCTTTATTGATTGTCACAGAGTTAACGGTTTCCCTTGCATTTGTAGAAATGGACTTGTCCTCTCCGCCACACCTGAAAGAGCGCTGTGACTTTGTCCATCAGTCAAAGGGTCGACATGCTTGTAGAGGTCGACCAGGATTGTTTTCTCACTGAAGAACTGTTGCACGGCTTTGATTGTTTTTGCGAGGGAAGGCGAACGGTCCATGTCGGTAATGGGTTCCACTTGAGAGAACCGGTCGAAGATTGTGGATGGACGATAGAGGACAGTTCTGAAGTACTCAACCCAGCGCCTCGCAGGTTGCGTTTTCTCCATGAGGAGTGTTGTTCCGTCTGAGCTGGGCAGCGGAGCAGTTCCCCCTGTGCATGGACCGTAGACGAAGAAATTTTCGTTTCATTGTGGTCCGCGAGGCATTGTAGTTCCGTAGCCTTGTTATCCAGCCGGGTATTCTAAACCTACCGCAGTCTCTTTTGCAGCAGGCGTCGAGAAAGGATGATGGCATATTTGATTGCGTCTGTTTTGTGTTTTGTGTAGGCTTTGTACAGACAGTCCTACTCTACGAGCAGGTCGGTGATTTTTGCGCCGCTGTTGTCGAGCCGGTCCCGGTGTTGGCGACATGCGCAACCGAGGACGTCCAAAGCAGTCGAGCGGATAGCAGTCCACAACTGACACCGCTGAGTCTTCATGGTGGCATTGTCATCCGGGGCCGGCAGTTCTTCCAGGTGCTGGACCCGTTGATGGCTGAAATCTAAGCGGTGAAAAAACACGTTCAAATTGCAGCCTCCAGCGGGATTACAGTCGGAGACTTATCTTGGAGATGACGAAACGGTGATCCGTCCAGCCATCAGCGTCATAGTTGGCCTTGATCACCTGCACGTTCTGTCGATCTCGCCGCCGGGCGAGAACATAGTTCAGCAGCTGTCAGCGCCGCGATCGGGGGTACATCTACGTTGCCTTCCCCCGAGTAAGCTGGCAGAGGAAGATGTTGGTCAGCAGGAGGCGATGTTCTGCGCAGGTCCGCAGAAAAATGAGGCTGTTTTCTTTATAGCTGCCGAGACCATGGGGACCCAGCGCCCCCTTCCAGGCAGCACAGCCCGTTCGGGCGCGGGCGTTCAAATCACCAAAGACAACCAACCTGTCCATCGTCGGTGCGGACACTAGGAGGGCATGCAGGTCTTCGCAGAACTTCCTCTTTTGGGGGGGGGGGGGCAGACGCTAATGATGGTAGCAAATTTGGCTCCCGAAGAGGCAGGCGCAGGCTCATCAGACGATCGTTGATGCCCTGCAGAGCAGCCTTCCCATGATGTCGTTCCGGATGGCAAAGGCGACATCTGCGCCGCGCCGCTCTGCCCTTGGGCGGCTTTTGCAAATGTAGTTGACATCAATCGCTTCCAGTTGGCCTTGTTCGGGGAGCGAGTCTATTTGAGAGCATCGATGTCCACCTTGGAGCACGCCACTTCCCCAAGGACTAGCGCCGTCCTCAGTTCCGGCGACTGTTCCGCGCACTGTCTAGGCTAGCAGAGTGAGCGGACTCACCTTAGCAGCCTGTGGGGTGCGGCGGGGGGAGGGGACGAGGCTGGTTGTTGTTCATCGCAGTTTGTGACCGCGAGTTTTGCATCCACGAGCCACGGTATACTAGCAGATGGCGTGATTCCCCAGCATTTGTTTGGGACACCTTTTCTAATCACTTCTTCGCCAGGGGGTAGGCAGTGCTATCCCTAGATAGGACAGTTTGTACATCCTAGATGGCTGCCGAACTGCGCTATGGGTCACTGTTTTGTTTGGCGAAGGACAACCAGAGTTATCCTGGACCGCCTACGGGACTACATCTCGCCATCTCCGTAGAATGAAAATGCGGAGGAGGGAGGCGAGGAACTGGAAGGGAAGCATAAATGCCGGATATGAGGACGCACAAGACACTAGATACCCTCATCTGTTTTAGTCCGCCGGTCGAGGCGGTCACTGGGGCGAGGCCGCTAGGCAGCGCCTAGCTTCGAGGAGCCACGTGTGAGAGTTGGGTGCCAAATAAGTGACGTTAGGCGTATTCACCACCTGCACGAGACATGTGATGCGACCTTCCATGACCGTCACGCTCCCGACTTCACCGATCATCAAAGTGCCTTCCCGTGCTTCAAACACCAGCTGATTATGCTGTATATCCCCAATTAACATAGCAAAGTATGGTTGCCTCACCGCTCCACTCCACATCCTCCAAACCTTCTCCCTGGTTCGCGATACTTCCTAATTCTCGGCAGTCACCCCCCATTAAAACAGACCAACACTTGTATCTTCCACCCAGATGTCCAGCGTTGACGGGGGTGGTTATCGTTAAAATCATTGAATACTCCCTTATTTTTCTGATATGATCGATTATCAGGCCTTTCTTCCCAACTCCAGCTTTTATTTAGTTCCAAATGGACTGCGCTGGTTTTTGACGTATTTGTTCTGATTTTCCGGAGCCTGTTCAGGCGGTCTGCACTTGAAGCTGATCTGTGTAAAATGAAAGTTGACCTGCACTTTTTTGAAACATCTAAATGCAGAACTCCCCACTTAGTGACAAACAGACGGGCCTCCTGGTCAGGGCTTGATGCACAAGTGGATAATTAAAGTAGTTTCCGCGCCAGGTCAGTGTTGGTATAGCCAGCCATAGTATAGGACCCGCGCCTCGACTGTTGGATCAAAGCATGCTCAAGTTTGCCGGCTGGGGTACTCGCAAATGCTGCACTTTTGGGAGTTTGGTGGAGAATGCAACTTCCACAGCTCGCAATCGACCAACACGGCAAATGCACATGATTTCTAAAAAAAACCACGTGGACGCGTTTTGACCGATCGATCGATTGCGTGGCCACACGCCTCCTTACCTGTGGGGTGTCCCCAAAAAGCGGGGACTTCTGGACTCTGAGTGGGGCAGAACTACAAAACCATGGCCAATGAATCTTTCCCTTGGAGTTTGGTTACGGCCAAAGAGTCTGGCGGAGAAGAAGTCATTGATTTTGTTATGAAAACAGATGAACGGACAAAAGTTCTGGAGAGGTTTGGCCAACCGACAGTACGCGAAGAAGACATGACTGATGATGATGTAACTCCAAAGGACGAAGACACAGAACTGTGCTATCCACTGTAAGCTGCGAAGCCGTTCTGTGCGTACTTCTTGAAGAACTTGCTTCCTAGAGTTGGTTTTGTCCTAAAATCTTTTTGCCGAAACGCAGTCAACTATGCTCTCGAGTTTCTCATGGCTAATCGGTAAGATACGGGAATCGGAAGTCCCCCTCCCCCCAGGTGACCTTGTTCTAAATTTCCAAAGGGGTACCTATTCCCATTTCCTAGCACTGACACTAGCCGTAGCTTAAAGCTTAACCCTAACACTTACCCCTACTTAACCTTTAACCTAATTCCTCTGGAATTTCGTCCAAGGATTGTTCCTATTCCCATTTCCTGTCCACCGACTTTGACCCTTAGGTAGCATTAATTGTAAAAGTTTTCAGTCACAGTTTCTTCGAAGACGTGCGCCATTATCAACAAACCATGGCCCTCGCAGCCTGGTTTAAACTGGCAGTTCCCCGACACCTGGTTCCCTGCCGGTAGATACGCTTGCGCTCCCGATGGGTATACAGGTGGGGGGGACATGGCTGCCCAGTCATCCTCGTTCTTCTGACTCCTGTCGGGGTGTTGTTGTTGGTGATAAATCCCGGTCAAGCGCCTGTTGTGGACCAGGGGGTTTGGAGTGGAACGCCAAGGTGCAGGCTCGGTCGTGCCATCCACCTGCGCTCTCCCCCGCCTCCGCCTCAGGGTCAATTGACCCTGTCTTGACACCTGATCCAGGTGAGGAGTGGGGAAGAGAGAGTTCGGTAGATGCTGTGCAAGTCTACTATCACTTTAAACTAATTCACGCGCAAGTCACCGTGCCTGCTGCACCTAACTATGCAACAGACGGTGGACATCGTCGGACTTGACGATCGAACTGTAAAGCAGCTGGGAAAGATGGCGTTGGTGGTATGATTTGTTTAGTTTTGACTGGGCTTGGCAGTCACCGTTGTTTGAAAGGTCAGGAGAAATAAGTTCTAAACGGAATGTTTGCATAAAGACTTCTTCTGTGGTCATCCACTCCATTTAGCTCTAACCTAACGAAAGTTCATATTGACCCAACTGTGAAAAACTCGGCGCCTCGGTGGGATTCAAACCCACGCAGTAAGGGGAAGGCGTGGGTTCGAATCCCACCGAGGCGCCGAGTTTTTCACAGTTGGGTCAATATGAATTATTCAAAATCTGCCAAAACATCTAATGAAAGTTGCGAAAGATTCTTCGATCTCTTCAGAAAAGCCCGTTTCCCATAAGAACCAAAATTTCTTTTGCGATATTCGTTATGACAACAGTTCCTTGTTGGTATGAATTCGTAATGCTGCAGCTGAAAGGCAACTGTAATCAGTTCAAAAGTTCCTATTGGGTTTTTGTTGGAAGGACAGGTGTAAGTTTTCAAATTAGAACTCCGGAACATCGGTTTACGTATGCATTCGAAGGGGAGATGCTGGTTAATTGACGTACTCATGCTGATTAGTGTGGAATATAACCGCAAACTTTCACATGCAGGACTGGACACCCCAGCCGCCATTGTCAATCGCCATCGGGGAAACTGCTTACTTAAGTAGTGTGCGTGTTTTCTACGTCTTTACTAACTTAACTCTTTTCCCCAGAGTTTTAAGCTTGTGGATGATGGATGCTCAACCGAGTGACGACATGCTGCTATGTATAAACATACCTGCTGTCAACTACCGTGCCAGCGGTTTTTAAACCTCACAAAAGGAGTATTTTCTGTTTTTAAAGACGATTTTAGAGGCCTTGCCCAATGTTTGGTAACTACTCTACATTGAATATGTATTGCATTATTTTGCTTACCAATGTCTTAAAATGTGCAGTACTTGACAAAAAATTTAAAAGCCGATATACATCCTTCAAACAAAAAAGTTAAAAATGCTATCTTCTAAAAGATCAGTCTACGGAATGCGGCAATGCAAAAGCATCTGCTGCCCAGATGTTACACAGTCAAATGAAGGCCGATTAAACGTTCGTCTCCGATGATATTTTTATAGCTCTGTGGAGGCTTTGTAAAAGGATGTTCTTTACAACGTAAAAACTAATATTCTTTAAATTCTCTTCTGTCCTTCCTAAGTCGGGAACTTAAATGATGCAGTTCGCACTAAGCAACTTTCCGTAAAGTTCGGATTTCTTGCGAACCGCTCATATTCCGAGACGCCAACTTCCCAATCTCGGACTGGTTGCTTTGTCTGCGACCTATGGATGACACATGACAGGCTGACCATCGTGGTCGACGATGTTTGCCGTGTACACCACAGAAGGGCAAAATAAGTCAAGGTGACTGGTGTGTTAGTTAGTTTATAGTGACTTGCGCGGCATCTACTGTACCCCCTCCTCCTCTCCCGCCTGTGCCCGGTGTCAAGACAGAGTCAAAAAAACCAGAGATAAGAGAGGGCGCCAGGTGACTGACACGGTGAATAAACGCACCTAGGCGTACCACCACACTCCTGGTCCACAACGCATACTGACCAGGATTTTACGTACAATGAGAAAAGAAGGAGGAGGCTGCTCGGATCCCACGGAGTGGGAGTGCCATAGAGGCCACATTAAGAAGGAGCCATTGCAACCGGACTCGCAGTTCACCAGTTCGTCACCGGCTTTGACCCCCAGGAGCGCATATTCCGTTTCCAATTATGCTTCGGCTGCGAATTCAGGGCAAACCTCGTAAATGTAAGATATAGATAATTAACGTTAGCATTCCTACTGACTCACTGTGTGAAATAAAGAACGAGCGCAGCCACAAATCATGTGGTGTCGTATGTGCTCCAACCCCTGACCTCTTGAGTACTTTCGTTGTGAATCTGAAATAAGGCAATAGTATCGATTGTTAGCAGTGCTGGCAGTCGTGTTGTCCGTAGCTCAACGGTAGAGCACGTTGTGCGCCCCAAACGGGTCACGTGGTAGATGCTCTGGACCAACACGGGGGCCATATCGGATTCTGGGAGGCGTTATCGGTTTTGCGCACGGTAACAAATGCCAGCATTTTCGGGGTGCGTTGGCGGAGCCGGTTGCGACGTACGTCGCGCACTCTGGGGTCCCGCCACCACCCCATTGTTGCTGTTGTTAGTCAAAAACCTGGTTATTTGTTGTGTGGACCAGGGGGTGTGGGGTGGAACGCCAAGGTGCGGGTTGTACCGTGCCATCCACCTGCGCCCTCCCCCGCCTCCAGTCTTCTTGACTCTGTCTTGACTTCGGGTCCAGGTGGGGAAGGAGGAGAGAGTGCGGTTGATGCTGTGCAAGTCTGTTATCACTATAAACTAAATTTTTGCACATGTCGCCGTCCCTACTCTCACTCTGCGGTGGAGCACACGGTAGACATCGTCGAAATCGACGGTCGAACTCTCGGTAGGGCACCTAGTGTGAGAGTTTATGGCGTCTGGGGACTTGGTTCTGTCAGATGACACGCGTTTTCTATCAACGTGAGGTCCTTATTTCCTCGTAGTCTGCTAACAAAATGTTCTAAAGCTAGAGCGGTTTGATTTCAGGAAGTTCTTGCACATCAGCGAATCCGGGGAGCCGAAGCTCACCCTGCAGCAGCTGAGGGAGGCCGTAGCGGAGGCAAGGAGACTTAAGGCCCTGGAGGAAGCAAACGCTCGACCCCTATCTGTTGTCGCCCCCACTATCTCCTCCACACTCGACCGATTCCAACCCAATGATCCCACGGTGAGCTGCCATTCCCCACAGCCGAATTTGCTGCTTGCTCATTTTCCATTGACCCTGTATAGATCAGCCTTGAGATAGGCGAAGAGAAGGTTAATTTTTTTCTAGTCTATACAGCAACACATAAACAGCAATATAGGTAAATCAATAACCAAAATCAGGTTTCTCACAATGCCCGACTCATCTTTGATTCTCGCAAGTTGTTGACCTCAGCAAACAGGGCTCCGCCTGACCTAGAAGCAAAGCTCTCAATTGAACTGGAAAACTTTTCAATGTATGCAAAAATGCCCTGCTATCGGTGGGTTTTTGATGTAGGTTGCCTTTGAGAATTTCCAGAAACCTTGGGTTGCGAAATATCCGGGGGTGGCTTTTGTGTAAGGTTTTGACCACATACAGACGGTGACCAATCTCATGAAATATCAACCAAAACTAGCCTTCAGTTAGGAAAGGTTACTTGAGTGTGATTGCAATACTGATTACCGTGAAGCATAATCCCCAGATATTTATATCACACCGGCATGCCGGCCTTTAAATGGACTTCTTCTCAGTCACTTGCAAAAACTGCACTACTTAATTAATATAAGGTTTTCTACCGGTTTCCGATTTTCGTGTAAATTCAAATATTTTTTATGGAAAACATGCTCAACGATATCCTTTTTGTTATTATTCGGTAGCAAATCAAGTCTTATTTAAATTTTATCCTCGAAAAAGTGGTAATTTTCGGTCTTAAAAGTTTATCATTGTGATATTTTTTGGACTGTAAAATGCCCATTCGGGTAGCATCGTGTCTGTACGTCTAGTAATCCTTGCTACGAAGTATGTGACAAAGCCCTCATCTATTGCAGACTTATGAGCCCTATGTGACATCTTCTCGGCAGCATATCGAAGTGTACGATTTTTCTTACACAAAGAGTATAAAACCTGTGAGTTGTAAATTCTAAATGAAAGTACAACGGCATGTCGGATTCAAAATTATTCTGGAAGCGAAACTTTTAAAACTTAAATACATCTTTTGTTCGAATGTGAAACTTGCTGTCATATGAGTACATGAAAGGTAGTAGTCCTTGCTACGGAGTATAAGACAAAGTCCGCATCTATTGCAGACTTTTATGAGCCCTATATGACGTCTTCTTGACAGCAAATTCTAACGGTAGCCAGGGTTAGGGTTAGGTTTGAGGTTGAAACACGGGGATAAGTACCCCCCAAAATCTAGCGCCAGTCCACCGGTACCATGGAAGGTCCTTATTCCGTTCATCACGACCGGTGCTGTTCATCTGACTGCGAGCAGTATTACCATGGTTATGTCTCATTTTAAGGGGGTCCAACCTAAATATCCGAGACAGAGCCAGTGTCTTCTCTTCTTGTCTCATACCTATCTGATCGTCCCTTCTTTCTCTCCCTTTTGTTGTTATATCTTGTCCTTACTCTTACTTCCACCCGCATCTTTCCTCGTACCCTCTTCCACCTTCCCTTCCTCCTCGCACGCTAATTCCAGCTTCCGAGTGAAATGGCATTTTCCCCACTAATGCCTCCCACCGGCGACTGATTTCCTCCCTGGCCTTTCTTGTTTGCCGCCTTTCTAGCTTCTCCTGGCGCAGCTGCCGATTCACGAGGGCAACAGTTGGTGTGACCTGAGTATCACCTGCAGCGATCAGCTGCGTCTGAGGGCCCCCTTCTTCTTCTACGAGGCGCGCTTCGATCGCCTGTCCAAGTCTCAGGCTGACCAGCTGGAGCACTGGCAGACAGTTGTGCACAAGAACTGTGAACGTCAACGGTCCGCCCTGCAGCGCCAACTGGAGAAGTGCCACTCCTTCAATACCCTTCTTGGTCATATGCGACCCAAGTGTTGGCAAACTGGTCTCCTGGACATGAGTCAACAGTACGCCTACCGATACAAGGATGTGAGTCTCCAGTTATCAGTCAGTTGTGCTTGTGTGTGTGTGTACCCCCAAAACGGGCAACGCGGTAGGTGCACTGGACCAACACGAGCGCTAGATCGGATTCTGGCAGGTGTTATCGGGACTACTCACTCGTAGCAAATACCCACAGTTCGGGATGCGGTGGCGGACCCGATTGCTGGCAGACTTCGCGCAGACTGGGACCCCTGCCGCTCCCTCCCCACATTGTTGTTGTTGGGCCACACCTGGTTATTTGCTGTGTGGATCAGGGGGTGTGGAGTGGGGCGTCAAGGTGCGGGCTAGACCGTGCCATCCACCCGCTTCCTCCCCCGTCCCCGGTCTGCTTGACTCTGTCTTGACACCGAGTCCAGGTGGGGAGTGGGGAAGAGAGTGCGATAGATGCTGTGACAGTCTACTGTAACTATAAACTAATTCATGCATAAGTTATCGTCCCTGCTCTCTCCTTGCTGTGGGGCACACGGTGGACGTCGTCGACAACGACGGTCGAACTGTCGAGTGACATTCATTGCGTCACCACAACGGGCCACTCGGTAGGTGCGCTGGATGAAGATGGGAGCCAGATCAGGGCACGTAGGGCGTTAGTGAGGATGCGTACCCACAACAAATGGCATGCGTGGGGTGTGGTGGAACGCCCAGACGCAGGCTCACGTCGCGCCGACAGCCTGCACCCTGTCTTCTTGACCCCGTCATGACACCGGGCTCCGGCGGATGGGGAGCATGGTAGATGCTGCGCTAATCTACTATCACTATAAACTAGTTCACCTAAAAGCCACCGTCCATGCGCCTACGCTGCTGTGGAGCACACGGTGGACATCTTCAGCAACGACGGTCGAACTGTCGTGTATGTTGGCCGAGAAAACGGGCCACGCGGTAAATGAGCCAGACCAACACGGGGGCTAGATCGGAGTCCGGCAAGCGTTATTGCGAATGCCCACCCGTAGCAAATACCAACATTGGGGGCCATGGTGGAGCGCCCAGTTGCTGGCTGGCGTCCAGCTAACTGGAATCCGTTCCGGCCCCTATTTTTGTTGTGGTGTTAAATCCTGGTCAGTGTCCGTTGTGGATCAGGAGGTGTGGTGCTACTCTTTGGTGTGAGCTTCGCCACGCTAGTAACTTGCGTCACCTCACTCCTCCGGCCCTCTTGGTTTGGTCATGACACCGGGTCCAGGTGGGGAGAGAGAGAGGACTGCTTTATTTTGAAAATAACTTTCAAAACTTTCAGCAAAAACGGTTCTCCAGTACACAGTGATTACCATAGAGATTAACAGGTATTGGACAGGTGGACATAATTATATATGAAGAAAAAAGGACTTTAAGGTGCAAGATCGAGTTTTAGTTTTTGTTTTTCAACATCTTTGCAGGTGAGATACCGGGCTAGAAATGGCAGTATGGAATTCCGATAGGCCGAAGTGCGGCAAGGGATGTGGCGGAAGCATCGACGCATGGGGCGTAAGGATTTCGCAGCCATTAACTCATTATGAAGGGGATGGACAGTGTCATTCAGAATTCGGTCAGCAAATTGCTCCACCGTATTGAAGTGTCGTTGCACGATGATATCAACTAAAATATGATAGGAAACACCAGCAGCAGAGGCGAGCATTCGAATGACACGTTTAAAAATAATTAGATCTTTTTTAAGTAAAGCTGGAAAAATAACTGGAGAACAGTAAAGAATGAGTGGAAGAATACAGCCATCTATGAATCGCCAGATTAAGGACTGGGGTGTGTGATATGAACGTAGACGACGAATGTAATAAACAAGTTTTTGAATTTTTGTTAAAAGGGTTTCCATATGAAGAGAGAAAGAGAGATTTGAGGATAAAGTAACACCTAGGTACCGGAAAGAAGATACCTCATTGGGAAGAATATCCAAAGGTTCAGGAATGGGAGAGGGTCGTAATCGAAACACACACTGTACTGATTTCTGATTGTTGAGTAGGAGTCCATTATTCGAAGACCATGCGGAGACGTGATCTAAGCCATCCTTTAAAAACTGTAAATGAGTCAGGTTTTTGAGTGGGTGGCCTACGACCATGTCATCGGCATACTTAACATACAGGCAGTCGTTTGGCGATCTCAAATCATCAGTATGTAAGGAGAAAAGATGAGGGGATAAGATGGAACCTTGTAGAACTCCACAATTATTTGGAAGAATAGAAGATTCTGCCTATATATCATGCGCCGCTGTGCGGCTGCTGGTTGGGCTCGAGAGAGAGCCCTTAAGGCACAACGGGACGAGTGAGTTCCGTATGAACGATCGGTGAGCGCCCCCTAACATTGTATATTCCCGATCGAAAACCGACAAGGCAACGGGCTCGTGGCCCGGTGAGTAGAGGCGTTGACTTCTAAACCAACAGGTCGCGAGTTCGAGGCTAGGGTGTTCCACACTTCGGGCTTGGGTATGGCTGGCTGACGACGGCTAATAAGCCAGAAATGGCCATTTCAGTCTCCCTTGTCTTTGTCGGTAATATCATTCTGCCTATAGAAGATTTTCTCTTTCCTGACTGGACAAACTGAGTGCGGGAGGAAAAATAATCTCTAAGCCAAGAGACAACCCAGCTCGGAGTGTCGCACGCAGCTGCCTTGGTCAGGAGGAGTTGGCGCGGAAAAGTGTTGAAGGCGGATGAGTAGTCGAGAAAAGCACATGCATATGCACGGCATCCCTTGTCTAAGTCTCTCAAAGCTGAATGAACAACTAAAGCAACAGCATCCAAGGTGCTACGCTCTGCCTTGTATGCAAATTGTAGAGGATCAGAAAAATTGACGGAGGAGTACTTAAGGGAATCTAATGCAACTCTTTCAGTAAGTTTCAGGAGTGTAGAAGAGCAAGCAATAGGACGGAAAGATTTAGGAGCAAAAGTGAAAGATTTTTTAGGGATTGGAGTAATGCTTACTGTACGCCAGGCGTGAGGAATCTTGGACTCTAAGAAGGATAGATTAATAAGGTGGGTCAAGACGGGAGCTATCTGCGAACAGCAAGACTTAAGGAGAAAAAGAGAGACACCGTCCGGCCCAGCCGCCGTTGACCCGCGAATCTTTTTGAGATGTTGTTCCACTGTTGTCACAGTCACAGGAGTAAAGTCACATGGTGGTAGGTAAATTTCGTTTGGGCGAGAAGGGGAGTCGTTAGAAGTACAGATAAAATTCCGATTTAAAGAGTTTAAATCTACGTCAATGGGTTCAAGTATATTACGTTGACCAGTGAGACGCTTGAGACTCCTCCACAGTTCAGCAGAAGGAAAAGGAGAGGAGGGGGTGGATGAAGTAGAAAAAAGTTGACTAACGAATAAACCGTTAAGTCTGGCAATTTCGTTCTTTATTAAAACATTGATATCCTTCACCTTGTCACGCTGACCTAGTTTGTAGAAGGCTTCTTTGCGACGTCTCAAGTGTTTGAGGTATGCTGAGGAGATTCTGTCAGGCCTGACCATAACAGTTTCACGGGGACAACAAATACCAAAAATGTGAGGATGGACATCGTCAATATCGATGGTCGCACTGCCGTGACAGGCTTTGAATGGCGACTCCGTGTTCGTCAGCTGCCTGAATCAGACAGGCCACTGGCAACTGAGAGAGAGGAGGGGCGATAAATCGATCCAGCTCGCAGTCATCACTATTGCTTCTCTCCACAAACAACCGAGCACATTTTAAGGTATCACAACACCCAAATGGTGTGGTCGACAAGACGGGGATTCCTGAATCAGAAGTCAGGTAAGACGGGTTGGGTTGGACAACTTTGCTGCTGAGGAAGTGCTTACACTAAGCTTTGCTAGCAGTCGCCGCGAGCACACTCTCCAGGCAAGTCGTCTTATCGGTATCCGCCATCGGGGTGCTCAGACCCAGCGCGTGTGTGCGCCTTTCGTTGTCTCAGCGTCCGCCAGCCAATCAGAGAAGGAGCAGCGTTGACTGGCATCGAGCACTCGCGAGGCCAGTGACAAGCCTCGCGCGTCCCAGCTGCGGATCGACGGGGAGTGAAGCGTACAGGAGGACAGCGCGACAAAGGCGGAGAGCAAGGAGACACGAACTGCCACAGCCTTGCTGGTTGTCAGCTGACTGCATAAATCAATCCTCCTCAGGATCGAGTGTGGGACTGAAATTTTCGCATATTAATGTGACCTCTATGGCACTCCTGCTCACGTGAACTGACTTCTGCATTTACGCCTGGCATGTGTAAGCTTAGGTGCTAGATGGCGGGTTTCTTCAGACAATCCGGCCCCCTCTATAATTTTGACCAGGGATGATGGCGCGCGTCACGGACAATGGCGTAACCTCCGAGGCATTTGTAGTGAAGTAGGTCTGCGTAATTGCTTCCATCCGGTTCAGCACCATGTTTTCTGCTCTGCTGATGTACGCCTACCGCGATGAGCGCCCCGGGGATACGCATCATCAACAGAACTTAAGGGAATCTTCCCTACAGCCGGCTCACGCAAACCCCAACACGCCTCTCCAGGATTACGGCCCATGACCTGCTCTTCGCGAACAACTGCTCACCCAACACCACAACCGAAGAGGACATGTAAAGGAGCGTGTACCTCTTCGCCACCGGATGCGCCAGCTTCGCACTGACCAGAAACACGGACGAGACGGTAGTCATGCGCCAACCGTCACCCGACACGGAATACAAGACTCTTCGAATCAATGTCAACGGCGGACAATCTAAAACCTAGAGCAACTTCGCTTATCTAAAAGGCACACTCGCGCAGCACAGAAATCGATGACGAGTCGTCCCATCGAATCTCCAGAGTCTGCCAGGCCTTTGGCCAGTTGCAAGCAGCCGTGTAGAACTGCCACGGCCTTCAACTGGACCCGAAGCTGAAGATGTAGAAGGTCGTCGTCTTGAAGACACATCTGTACGGAGCGGAGAACTGGACCGTCTACGCAAGCCATGTCAGTAGCCCCACCCACTTCCATCTCAATTGCTTTTGCAGAATACTAAGGCTGAGATGGAGCGACAGGGTCCCGGACACGGAAGTCCTAGAGCGGACCTGAATCCTCGGCACCCGGGCCATACTGAGGTAACTTCGACTATAAAGGAGCGGCTACCTTGTAAGAATGAGCGGTAAGCGATTAACCGAACGCCACTTCTAAGGAGATGTCGCCATGGGTGGCCACCGACAGGATGAACAAAAGCCACGCTATAAGTCCACTGAGAGGGCCTCAGCCAGTACAGACCGGCCTGAAGGACAGGGTAGTTTGCAAGTCCCATGCACCTCGAATCCATAACACCAAAAGCCAACCGCTTCTAACATGCACCGCTGCTAACGCACATCCCGTGCGCGAATCGACCTCGTTGGACACCTTCGGACGCTATACAATAACAACTTGGCAACATCAAATTCTCCTTCTACGACCACCCATGCCGCCGACCTCCTCAAACCCCTCAACGACCATCTCCACCACTGGTAATCACATTGCCGATCTCCCACCGCCTTCGGGCACCACCGCGATTATCCTTGCCCCGACAGTTCGAACGTCGTTGTCAACGATATCCACCGTGTGCTCCACAGCAATGTGAAGCAGATACGTCGAATTGTGCGCTAATCACTTTATGGCTGTAACGGACTTGCACTGCGTCTACCGCACTCCCTCCTCCTCCCCCATTTGAGCCCGGTGTCAAGATGGGAATCCATCAGGAAGACCCCAATGGCGAACCAGCTGCGCCAGGTGTGTGAGCGCATGACTGCGTTTCAGGTCCCAGTTGGTAGTCATGGTTATGAATGGCTGAATGAAGGCAAACAAGCCCGAAACAGACCTGTACCAATCTATCCCCAGGAACCTGTCTTTTCCCTGATATATATATATATATATTTTAGGGCAAGAGGATACACTACTAGCAGCACAGGCACTAGCTAAAAGCCCATGCACGCGTGTTTCGCCGATATTCTGCCGTTGCATGACACAGCTGCGAGGGGTTCGGCTCACTAGTGGATCCCCCAGCATTTCCCGTATGTTTTCTGGTAGATACTCCGAGCTCGCAGTTAATTTCTGAGGAAATTTAAAGGCAACAATTTCTAAATCGGAGTATCTACCAGAAAACAGACGGGGAATTCTGGGGGCCCCACTGAGCAGTCGAACCCCTCGCGGCTGTCATGCAGCAACAGCCAGCTTGGCTGATGACGGCAAATAAACCAGAAATGGCCATTCCGGTCTCCCTGGTTTTTGTCGGTACCATCTCATTTACATATATATCTTGACTGCATAATTGAGCCAACTCTTCCAAAATTCAGATGATGAGACAACTCCTGGGCCATAACCATCATGACAGAAATTCTTCTCGCCAGCCACTAATCCGCTATGAAATCCCGTTCAATCTGCTGGATCTCGAAGGTATGTCAATCTGTGGTTTGAACGCAAGTGTAGACTGGTCTACATCTCTTTATGGTCCTGCGACACCTTGCATTAAATCTCTTTTATGCTCAATGTTTGTGTGAGCCGCGAAACGCAGTTCTAAGACCCAAAACCGCATCGGTGGGATACAAACTGATTTAGAGTTGCGAAAATTCCCATAGCAGTAATCAGAAGACGAGGTGGCGAGCATACGTAGCTTTCGATAAATTATCGTCCGGCCAGTACAATTATGTGGGAAGGGGGTAGAAGTAAAAACATGTGAGTGATGAGATAAATCAAATAAAGTTCGCCTTTGTTCCTTAAAGTCCCTTTTCAAGGGGACGCCGCGAGTGAACTCCTAAAGAGACGCCTTGATCAAGCTGTTTCGCAAACCTTCCCAGCGGCAAGGGTTGAAGTATCCTTCTCGACTAACCCTATTTTACGCGGAGAAGGTAAGGATAAGTTGCCACCCCAGATCAGTTCAATGTGCATCTATTCCTTCACTTGCTCCTGTGGAGCAGGTTATATTGGTCTTCCGAGTCGGCGCTTATCCAAGAAATACGGGAAAACCTCCCGGCATGGCTGGGAAAAGGCGAAACTAGGAGCATAAGCAGCGCCATTCTCGCGCATGCTGCCGACTCCGGACATCATGTAGACCCCAATGAAGCGTTTCGTGTGATCTATAAGGTCCCATCGAGCTATCCGAAACCACTGGGACAGCGCCTGTTAGCAACAACAGAGGCGGCCGCCATCAGGTTGCGAAAACCAATTTTGTGCACACAGAAGAACCACGTTCAGGCTCCCTATAGTGGCCGAAGGTCGACTAACGCTACAACTCTCCCGCGTCCTTCCGCTCTCACCCCGCCCCTGACACTGACTACTATTACCCCCTCCTCCCTCACATTCCCACACCCATTCCCAGGCGAACTTTAATCGATTTATCTTACCATATAATTGTATTGGCCCGACGAGAATTTATCGAAAGCTACGTATGCTCGCCACCCCGTCTTCTGATTACAAACTGATTCGAGCTGCTGGCAAGACCACATTTGGAATTTTTTCTTATGTTGAATCTGCGGTCTAAAGTGCTCGTGGTTGGCCGTTATGCGACGGTAAACTGCTAGTCGAGAAGTACTACTGAACAGTGCAATCCACCCCTGTGTGACATCGAATGTACCCAATTGCGTACAACATATCTTAGGCCGTGACTCAGCCGGTAGATCATTATGCGCGATGACCCGCCAAGCCTTGATTCAAGTCTCAAGTCGTACCCCAACCCTAGGGAACCCTACCAGAGCTTCCTTGTTCAACGCTAGAAGGATTATTTGCGTAGCCAAAGAAGATTTCATAGCTGACGTTTTCTTTCTGAACGCTTCTTATGAAGCTCCCACCGGGCAGTCTCAAATCTTTAATCTCAGAATGCGAGGGCATCAGTGGGGCCCTTTTCGCGTACAACTTTACTGATGAATAACATTGTTTAACATCTGGGGGAGATGTTCAGTCTGCTTCCTCTTTTTGGTGACGACGGTGCCATCAGTGTACTGAAACCAAACTTGGGGTCGGTGCGTCTACAAGGCCTTCTCTTCTTCACACCTCCATTTCGTATGGCAATCGACTGTTTCTGACAGCTAATAATCCATCAATATCCATCTGACTCCCAGAAGACCACCTTATTTCCTTAAACGTTTTGCTTTTTGGAAAATTCTCCCAAACGCGAAATGTCTGTCTAGATAGTTTGTCCTTTTAATGTCTCTTGGCTAAAGGTGTATTCAGTAATTACATTTCAACAGTTTAACCTGAGGTGTTCCATCCTTCAGTAGTGCCAAATTGAAATCTAAATCACCACCTATTAGTCCTGTAAGAGGAAGAGGTCATGCCTTTGAAACACTTAGACCGTCCAACGAACATTCAACTGTACTTTGCCTTCCAGAGTTGTATTAAGACGTTTTGTATTTTCGAAAAAAACAATTGCTTCTTAATAAAAATATGCACTATAAAAGTTCTGTTCGTTTTAGTGCAGCACCGTGAACACTTTCGTGGAGGGCGAAGGACAAACAGTGCTAGTTGCTTAATTATGCTCATTTGGGTACTGGGTCCTTTCACATAGAAGGGCTCACCTCCTGCATCTACCCTCATCTGGGTTTCTAAGTAAAGCAGGCTTCAAATTGGCCCAGTGATGGTAATCCGTATGAATTGCTCGGGGGAGGGAGGGGAGAGCGAGGTCGATCCTAGGTACTCCACCCCACTTCACATAAATGCACTCCTCGTTAATAATAAACATGACGCGCCGCGAAACTATCCGGACACTTTAAAAGTCGTGGCTTGGAAGGTTGTCAGGCGACGAGATCAAGAGACAGACAGTCAGGCTGCAATGGCTCCTTCTGAATGCGATCTCTATGACACTCCCACACAGATGGGGATCGAGTCGCCCACGGTGGACATCGCCGCATGCGACAGTCGAACTGATATTCGATGTAAATTGGCAATGATTCGTAGGACACCAGTGGACAGCATGAGACAGGCGTCACTGTTGATTGTAACCTATCATGTATCCTCTCACGCCCTTTCCCCTCTTCCTCAAAAAGGTCTGAGTCCGATGGACTACCTGAAGAAGTTCTGCATCCTTGCGGACACCCGACTTCCCTATTACCAGCGAATTTTCACCAAATACAAGGACGGTCGTACGCATCTAATTCCATCCGACGTAAGATTGCAAAAAATGTCTGCTCAAATATTTTTGCTCCAATAACCCTTTTATCTACCCATATTGTGATTTTTCCCTGCTGTCTAGAAATTGTTGGAGCCTCTGAAGGCCCTGATGAGTGGGGCTTTCTATCAGGATCAGGTGGATGAACTGGTCCGCATCCTGGACCTGACAGATGAGGCCCAGGCCCTGGATGAACATGAGTTCTGTTGTGTTTGTGGGCTGGCCGAGAGACTCTACTACACCAAAAACCTGTAAGCATTAGAATCAACCTGTTAAATTCCTAACCCATGTTTAAACTTGAGAAGATCGACTGACTTGATTCGCACCAACTCAACGATCGTATTCTTGAGGTAGCTGTTGGCAGAATCTACTTTCAATGAGCATTCCCCTTTCGACAGACCTCGTGAAGGTGGAACCACACCAGTTATCGTTTGGTTCCAAGCTCCAGAAAATCTCAAGTGGAAGTGGGAAACTTTCTTAGTCAGAAAACGGTCGCGTTTTTGTAGTGTTGTCTCAAAAATACTCACCACCGTGTCTGTTTGAACTTCCGACTAAACACAAATCCTGAATAATCCCCCGCAAACCATGCGTTAACTGCGCATTTGCCAAGAATTTCCGGCTTTTTTTGCAAGAGACAGACGTCAACTGAAAAACTTCCCCACTTACCTTCAATACAACTACACCTTTTTGCGCGTAAACCTTGCGTTTTACCAGTTATTTCTTAAAGTACTGGCGATAAAGTATGGTTGGATTTGGGGGACAAAAAAACCGTAAAATTACTAAATACTTGTACAGTACTGTTTGTGAGGAATAGTTAGTTTCAGAAGATAAACACTTCAGGACTCTTCCATCAACAGAAGGTACATATCCTAGGATTGTGTCGACGTTCATCCTGCTGTGTTTGACTCAAGCTAAAGACAGGCCATATAAGATTTTAAAACCGGACTTTTTCATGCCCGCTTTCATCAAATTATGCAATGAACAGAATTCTTGTTTTATCATGCAAAATACGCGACTTTAGGGCGAAAACATGGCCCTTTTTAATATCATGTAATACCTCACCAGTGTTGACCTCTGCAAAAACTGAATTGCCCATTTTTTCTCTCATAACTTGGCTTACGGTAGAACCATTCTACTTTCTTGTCCATCGACGAAATACCCGAATGCCTGCGCTAAGTGCACGAGCTGAATCCAACTGACAACCGTTTTTCTGGGTATCCACCCCTTCACCCAATAGAATCTTCCCTCTCATTTTATAATACATACCAGTGAACATTTTTCACTCTACTTTAGGCTTAATTTCTGATGGATGCGATCGTTTTTCCTTGGAACTTAGATGCTATCGACGGGGTTTAATTTTCTATATGTAGGACTTGGTACTGAACAGTAACAACTAGTAAAATAGAAAAAATTAGGGAATCCAGTCGGTCAGAAGGTTTGTGTCATTGGGTGTAGTCGAACCGCGTTTAGAACAACTATATTGCTTAAGAAGGGTGGAAAGTAATTGACTGTCCCCAACCACATTCAGTGTACTTCAAAGACCCTAGATTATCTTTGTCATTAACAAATCCGTCAGGATGTTTATAACAGTTAATTGCTGCAACTGTATGTCGACAACGAGTGAAGAACCGTCTCGTCCGCTGGGGTTTTTGTCCGCTTTAAGCATTAAGAAATTTAAACTTGCCGCTGTCCGTTCGTTAAGGAGCCAGTTTTAAGGTAATAAACCGAAAGCCTACGACTGTATGCAAAGTGTTTACGAATATCAGAATCTTCCTTACATAACGTGGCCTTCGGTGTGGCTACGGTGACTGTTTTGGCAGACACAGAGTTCAGACTGGTTGTAACCTTCGTATTGGTTTAAGTTCTTAAGGAATGAGTTTTAGTTCTAGCTGCGACAATAAAACTTCTCTACTAAAGACTAATTGTCAGGGGAGGTACCGGTGTAGAGAGCGATAGAGACGAGTGCCATGTGAAAGGAGTCGGCGGTTGTGAGGGAAGGGGCACCAGCTACCTTCACCGATACACGGCCACATCATCTCCATGCCGGACTTGCGCGAAGTGTGACTTCAGTCCTTTTAAATAACTCTGTCCAATTCGTGGCCCGTCACACAGAAGCCTAAATATTTGAACTCAGGCAGTAACCTTAAGAATCAGTCCTACGCATTATCCTCGAGGCACGTTTCTTCATCGCCTTTTTATATCTTACATGGGGTCTAAATTGGCCTACACTACAGGTCAAAATTGCCGTGTTATGTCCCTTAGATCGATCCGAACAGATAAGCACCCTCTCCAAGTTGCTCAAGTGTTTTCTCCATAAAACACGCTTTCTAGGCCTGTGACTCACTATTACTATTATGCGCTTACTTCCCTTTTCCAGTCGTATTTTCGGAGAGGAGGGTCTGGCTATGCAACAGGGCATTTTGGAAAGTGCTGATTTTCACATGTTTGTCAAGAAGATGGACGGAGTAAAGATAACAAGAAATCTATCTCGGTTCCTTCAACGTCTCGGTCTCTACAAGTGAACGCAAACAATCTCCGAGACAGGATGCCACAATCCGAATTTATCTATTTTCCTTGAAAATAAACCCATGTGACACCAGTTTTCCCGTCGTTTGGTGGTTTTCCGTGAAACGACCAAGGGACCTACAGGTTAGATTTTTGGCACTGATTTCTCAGAGGGGATATAATCGCCAAAATCGATTATTTTGTTATTTAACTTAAAACCCTACCTTCATTCGTGGTGTTCTAGGCGGATAAAGATGTGCTGCTGTCCAGTTTAAATAGGATGAGGCAGAAACGCAAGCACAGGCGGACCTAGATATTACGAGATAGAAACGGTCTGCAATCAAAGAAGATGGCAACCGACGGTTCTATTGACACCACCTAAAATACTGGAATGGGCATCTTTAGAGTGTTTCTCGCACTTCGCTACTAACATATCATTTATAAAGCAGTAATCGCAATTTGAGTCCGGGGTAATTATTTACAGGCAGGAAATTAGCAAATGCTCAATGACCAGGCTATTCTCCAGTTCAGTCCAGTTCAGGGTTCTGCATCCAATGAGCTACGATTGGCGTTTTCACCCTAAGCAAGCTTCTACATATGCTAAATAGACGCTGTCAACCGTAGGCGCGGACATCTATGTCCTCTGCCACCAACGACAATGGGGAACTGCTTACACGCCGGACGTCTGAAGGTTATTATGCAAACAGTACCCTTAAAACGAGCCACGCGACCGACACGGGGACCAGAGTAGAGGGCGGCAGGAGTTATTTGGAATGCACGCCCACAATAAAAGTCACAAATGGATGTGGCGGCACGCCTAAGTACAGGCTCACGCCGTGCCAGCCGCCTGCGCTTGATCTCGCCTCCGCCTCCTTTGAATTTACTATTACATCGGGCCCAGGTGGGAGAGGAGGAGGAGGAGGAGGGAGTGTGGTAGATGCAGCGCAAGTCACCGCCCCGAACCCATCACGCTGTGGGGCACAAGATGGACCTCCTTGGGGTCGATGGTCGAAATGTGGCTATGCGAACAGCGTGCATTAGGGACAAATAACGCAGCTGTAGCTGCTCAGCGTCTTTAGCGACCACCGCGCCTGTCGCATTACCCGTGGAAACATTGGATCGCAATAATGCGGATGTTGTTAACAGTAGAATGTGAAGAACGACTGTCCACGGTGCAAATGACATGGATGGGGGCTTCGGTTAAAAGCCGTCCTCTGTCGGTGCCTCACACACGTGAGCTGATTACTCAGGAGTGGGTGTGGTGGTGATGAGCGTAACAGCTGTTTAATTAAATCCGGAACATTGCGGCCGCCAGCCGTCATTAGTCGGTCATTATGTACATGGTAGCTAGCTTAAATGAGGACAAACCACTTGTTCGGCAAGTTGATTCTCAGAGGGGAGTCTGCCCACGCAGCTTTCCTGCTCCATAGCGGTGCGTAGGGCCATGAAGAGACCCGGCAATTATGTAGATGCAGCTGCTCTTCCATTCATCAAGATTAAGAACTGCTGGATGACATTTGTACGCCGAATAAGCTGTCTCCCTATAATGTCAATTTGCCTAAAAACAGTTAGTGCACTAGCGTGGGGACTTACTCGATGATCAAGCGCTATTGATTCTGGCGTTGTCAAAGGAGAACATTTACAGATTACTTCATATCATATATTGCAAAACGAGCATACGGCCGAGTATTGATGGTGGTCATACAGACATTTTTCGTGATGGTATCAGTCTGCGGTATAGTTTACACGAGATAATGTGCCACCAAAAATAATGGATGTATATGCACCACTTATGGTAACGTGGTCAGTGGTGTTGGTCAATCCGCCGATCCGTTTAGTCGTTGCGATCCTAGAGCGGAAGGTCCGTATCATCGTCCGACTCCGAGGTCATCAGTTGTTGATTACTACACAGTAGTGTGTAGTGAATTCTCAATTGTACTCCCCCGAACGGCCTTTTTTATGGTTTCCTTCAAAATGCACTAAAATTGATTTAAGACTAATGCAGGGTTTTCCACTGCATCTTCTTATACTCATCCTCGTCATGTTATCTTAAAACCAAAGAAGGAAGCTCTGAAATCTTTTCATAAAATCACATAGTTTAGCTTCCATATATCCGAAATTTTGAGGCTCAGTAGGTTTCGCTCATGCAGGCCTGGGGATTTTATTCTGTGAAAAGTTTTAATTAGGCAATATTAAACTATGTTCAGAAGAGACAGTGGCGAGCGAACGTTCCTTTTGGTAACTTCTCGCCAGGCCAATACAGTTACATACGACGGGGCACAGTGAGTGAAAAAAATCGATAAAAGCTAGTTTTTAAATTCCAGGCTGGGAAAGAGCGGAAGGACGCAGAAAGTTGTACGTGGTTAGTCAACCTTTGACCACGGTAAGCGCGGAGCCTGAACAAGGTTCTTTTGGGCGCATAGGGTCGGTTTTCGTAACCTGATGGCGGCCACTTCTGCTGTTGCTAACAGGCGCTGGCCCAGTAGCTTAGGGTGGCTCGAGGGGACCTTGTAAATCACACGAAATACTTCAGCGGGGTTCACGCAATGCCCTGAATCCACTGCATGCGCAAGGATGGCGCTGTCTATTCTCCTATTTTCACTCTTTGCCAGTCATGCGGGAAGGTGCTCTCGTATTCTTTTGGAAAGCGGCCGACTCGTACGACCAATATAACCTGCTCCACAGGAGCAAGTGAATGAGTAGATGCACATTGGGGCGGTCTGAGCGGGCAGCCTATCCTTGCCTTCTCCGCGTAAAATAGGGTAAGAAGAGAATGATATGCGAACCCATGCTGCTGAGAAGTTTTCCGCGACAGGTTGGTCAAGACGTCTTCTTAGGAGTACACTTGCAGCGTCTCCTTGGGAGGGGACTTTGAGGAACAACGTTTTCTTTTCGGCGGTCAGTGTGGTGGGTTTTGCGGGTCGTTCGGCAAGGTTCTTTGCAATAAATCTGTCAGGGTACCCGTTTTGGCGAAGCAAGTCCTAGATTTTTCTAGGTTCCTCCTCGATAGTATCAGTTGAACAAATTTTTCTAGCCCTTTGTGCCGAACACCTGACTAGATTCCGTTTTTGTTGGAGAGGTACGAAACTAGCGAAGTTCGTGTAGTATCCAGATCAGGTTTTCTTTCGATAGACGCTCCTTCAGATGCTACCGTCAGATCTCCTGTTTAGAAGGACATTTAAGAAAGGAAGCGAACCAGCCGATTCCATCTCCAACGTGAATTTGATCGACGGATGTGCCTGATTTGCAGCATTTAGGAGGGCAGCGACGTCGGTTTCTGCGGTTGCAATCACAAAGATATCATCAACGTAGCGACCATAATATTCAAGCTTTTTGATCTGATCGCTTAGTTGAAATCTCTCCAGCTTCCGCATGAAGACCTCGGCTAAGAGAGGTCCAAGAGGCGAGCCCATGGCAACGCTGTCTATTTGTCTATAGAGTTGGTTGTCAAAAAGGAACTGCAAATTTAATGTGCATCTTAGTAATAGTTCCTTGAGTGTTTTCGTCGGTTTTCCTATTTCTTGATGACTGGCAGATAGAAAATCACAAGTGTAATCAATTGTCCCGGTGACCGCGACGTTTGTAAAAAGTGATGCGACGTCTAGTGAGAACACCGTCATGCCGTTAAGGTTGAGGTCTTTAATGTCGTCAATGAATTGAAAGGTATCTCGATAGCTGCGTGGTGCCAGCTGATGTTTTATGGCCTTGAGTTTCTCTGCTAACCACTTAGCTTTCGCATGATACGGAGAGTTCCGAATATCTAAAATCGGACGAACCGCTAGGCCCTCCTTATGGATCTTAGGTAAACCATATAATCGAGGAATATGTGTGCCGACTGGCCGGAGGTGTTCGAAGTCATGGTCACGTATGTTACCTCCTGTGTGGAGCCTTTTTAAACAGTCAATCAGTTTCGCCTCTGCGTCATCCGTGAAATCCTTTTCTTTATCTGCCTTTCTGAATTTCTTCTGGTCAGATAGGATGGATCGTATCTTCGCTACGTAGTCCGATCTGTTCATTATGACGGCGCCTGTTCCTTTGTCAGGTTTAGTTACCATGATCTCTTTGTTCTCTCGAAGTTCTTTTAATTTTTCCACGTGTGCTTTTGTCAGCAATCCTCGACTTTTTGGCCCTTTGTTTAGGTATTGATACCTTCGATTCACTAGTATGGATACCGCCACATACAGGCCAGTCCTGCCCGCATTTTTCTGTTATTTTTCTTTATCGGGGGTTTTTTTCCTGTAAAATTAATGTTATCATTTTTAAATTTTTGTATGGAGTTTTTTTTACTCCTCGCTAGTCACTTTTTTCAACGGATCACTAATTCAGAGACTATGAATTACATTTTGTAAAGATTCTGCCTACCTCGTCTAAATTTCGCGTGTAAATTTATTTTTACTTGCTTTGATGGGACCCCGACGGGTCTTTAATAAACAATTATTATTAAAGTGTTGGATACTGTCTGTGGAAGCGGGAAATACATCGAAGGTTTGGTTCCAGAGGTTCTCGAACTGAGTTTCCAATTCTAACTGATTCACTTTTCGACGCGGTATGCAAAACTTCGGACCAAGGGATAATGCTTCAAGTGATGCTTTCTCAAGTGTCATATAAGAGTGGTTGGGTACTTACCGAGCTGAATCTTTGGGAAGCCGTGACTGGAGTTTCATCTCATGTAAACTCCTAAGAAGCGCAGAGCGTTTTGCCTCTCCACGTTTCTTTTTTATAGACTGAGTGTAGATGTCGAATTCTTCTTTCCTCATCTGCCAGGATATCTAGGAAGGCTGTGAGTTGACACACATGACGCTCAAGTTCCTCTAATTTTACGAGGGTACTTTCCAGTTAATTCTCAGCGTATCTCTTCAGGGTTTCTGTGTTAATAACTGTACGACTACGACGCAGCGCTCTCCAGCAATGGTTTGGATATTCATTTCTCTTAATACATTCCCCTGTAAACTTGGCCATCGCTTTCGCATCAGCAAACTTGGCGTAGGGGCTTAAACGACTTATTCTCAACATTTCTTAATTACTCATGATCTCCACTCCGAAGCACACACCCCTGTACATTATTCTTACTGCCCACTTCAGTCATCTCTGGTCGTCCGCCTTCCACCGCCTCTACCTGCAAACGCTTTCATTTTTTGTACTTAGGCGCAGTCTTCTTATCCATAACAAATTTCATTATCTCGACTACATACCCAACGATGGTTATTCAACATTAATCTGCCTCCATAATGTTCCTCCGTTATTTTCCTTGTGTGCTCATTGCGGATCTCGAAAAATATCTTCCTGGAATTAATGGCCCATATCCACTTCGTCTTACGAAAATGTTGGATTTTTTCCGCATCCATGTCCGTTCAACGAGAAGAATTCACTCAGCTGAATTCCGTACTAGCTGTTCTGCCAGATTTAGTTATCACTCTTGCCTCTGCTGTCTGCCCAGTAATCAACTTTCATGATGCTCTGCTTCTTCCTCCTACATTTAATTACTGTTCTTTATGCTGGAACGCAGACTACGTATATTCGCTTAGTTGACTTTTAAGCTTACCAAGTGTCAACTCTCGTGCTAGATGACAGCTAAATATTGGCTGGTTTTCTCCCTGTTGACGTGCTTAACACTTTTTATGCAACTTTTACCATAAAGATAAAACACCTGCGGTGTATTTTGCTTCTCCATCAAGTGCACAATAGAGTTGTTCTTTCATCTGACAAGGTCTACTGGAAAAGAGCTCAGAGTCGCACCATATCTTTTTGAGGGGCCTCACTCCGCATCATTCTGCTCCAGTTCCCCCCCCCCTTGGAAATTAAAACATTTTCTCTAAAACCTTCGCATATTTTCAAAGCATTAAGGACGTTCCTCTTCACCTCTAAAATGTGTTATATTTTTAGAGTCTTCCCCAGTAACAAATCATCCCTTATAGAATTCTGTGGCTATAGTCGGTGCAGTCATAGGAATAATACTAAAGTCAAGGTTATGTTACATTGAAAAAGAAGCAAGTACGTCGCGGTCTTTGTTCTGTGGGCCATGCACCGGGGGTAGCTTTTACCAGTTAGTCAGTTTAAAAAAACAGCTCGGAGCACCCGCATCGGCTATGATAACCATACAGCTTAGGAGCATCCACCGGACACCTAAAGAATATCCTCCTCTCAGCAGGGCAAAGATCGGTTTCAAGAGAACAGACCCAAGCACGGCAACCGTCACTCTCGAACGGTTTCCGAGTTGAATGATGTTTGTTCCGCAGATGACGTCTATTGCTCTGCGGTGACGTGTCTATACGCAATGGTGACTGCGCTTAGACTTCAGTATTGCTGTTCACACCCTGGTGGCGGCATAGATCCCAATTGCATTTCACATCCTGTGAACTGTAATCAGCGGGTCTATATTTATTCAGAGAATCTAACGTATGAATAAATGTAAGCCATTAGATAATGTTGTGGCCTGTTGTCATTACTTGTAGGATTAAGCAAAGACTCGCAGCTTCATAGGGTTTTAAGTCGTGTGTACTGATCACAGATCAATTAATTTAGACTAATAGTTTGAGACCATTTAAATTCAGTTTTTCTGGTTGTCGGTCTTAAAAGTACGGGAGCACTCTTCAGACTTCTCGGCTGTTACAAGTGGCATAGTGCTGGGTGTATTTTCTGAACAGCGTCATTCACCTGCAACTTGTCTCCTAAAAATTTCCCGCACGAAGGCGAATTTATTCTGCGACAGCACTAAAAGACACTTGCGGCAACTGCAAACGATCAAACAAACTGCTTGTTTCCGAAGGTTCGGTAGATTTTTATGTAAAATATCTAAGTTCAGGAAATTTTTAGGTAATTTCTATTCAAACCTGGTTGTTAGCATCCGAACTGGAAAAATGATGCTACTCTAGGCTCATAAATTATAGTGGATGGTTGTGCACTTTGAAGAGCGAGAAGATATCACGGCGGGATGAGTAAAATTAAATTTCTGCAAGCTCACACCTGAGTTCAGCTAGATCTGGCTTCGCTGTTATTATTTTTGACCACATGGATATTGCAGGTATTTAAAAATCCACTTTTTTCCTTTCGTATTTAGGACTTACACGAAGGAAGTGTATGTTATTGTAGCTTATCCACGAATTGAATAGAATGACCACTATCTTATCGTTTTTTCTGTGAAGACCATGGTCATAAGATCTTCCACACGGTTCAAGAACATGGGGTTTTACCGGAGAACCTGTACTTAAGATTTCATTTCTTTGATTTTCATGACACATTAACAACCAAAACAAGTTTGCACAGTAAACTCAGGGCTTGCGCGATAAACCGTTGTAAGCAACATCCAAGGCCCGATATTGGCGTATTCACTAGATCACTGTCTCCTCGAAAGTAACACTACGAGCGAAGGCTCCGTATAACCAAGCGCATACTGACGAAGGAAATACTTTCTGGTACAGTTTTCGCACCTAAACGACACAATAAATCTTCTCTAGATCTGTTATCAAGTATTATGAGACTGACACAGTTTCCAGAATAGGCTTATCCAATGCGCATTTGTATATTTTTTTAAAAATTATGTTAACCATATCCATAGACACAGCAAACACCAAGGACCGCTACTCGAAGGTGTACAATTCACAGTCGGAGCAATCAAGCAAACAACATTCCTCTTTCGCATCCCCCGTCCCACCCCAGTCTGCTAGATTGACTCTGCTCACCAAAACACCCTGGAAGTTTCGTCTCTTTCTAGACGGTATACAGATTACCAGACCGGCTAAAGGTACGAAATAACTCGTTCTTGATCTGTAGCGCCACAAAGTGGGCAACGTCGCACCCAATGAGACTCGATTCTCAAAAGAAGGCCAACACGAAGATGTGGATGCTGGCAGCACCTGGCCAACCTACTAAAGGCAGATTTATGCAATGCTGTCGTCACCGTTGCCGTCCGGTACAGTGTAGAGGGACAACTGCTATATCTGCTGCAGGATATCAACGACCGTCTGATAACAGTGCGTCTTCCTCTTCGCGGAACCGAATTCGCCACCATCGTCAGTACCTACCCCCTCCCCTCAATGACTAAACCCTGCGGGTGAGAAACAGGCACTTCGAAAATTTTCATGTCCTCCTAACAACTGTGCCGAAGGCGGACAGTCTGACCACATTTGATGACTTCGATTCCCGAATCAGACGGATTCGGAGGCTAAAATGATAAGGGCCTTCGTTCTCTGTGGACTTGCGCAGAACACCACCTCCTTTACACCAGCACCTCCTTCCGCCTTCGGACGAGGGAGTAGGCAGTATAAATTCACCCCGTTCGCGGTGCTGACGACCGCTGGACTATGTCCTCGTCTGTAGGCGAAGGCGTCATGACATGCTGGTGACAGAAGCGACCGGCGGCACCGATTGTTAGACGGACCACCGCCTCGCCACCCCGAAGATTAGGCTCCGACTGCAACCTCGCACGAAAGTGAAAGATAATCAGCCATCAGGTAAGTTATATACTGTTTTGTTAAATCTGTTTGCGGGTCGCATAAATTTAAGGAATCAGTTGGCCTGTCGCCTGGAAGGCGAGCAATCTCCGGACGACGCCGCCATTGTTGAGATACAATGCTGCTATCAGCGGAATGTCATAAAATAACCAGCTTGTACTTAAATGGCTACCTACACCATCAAAGTCATTGTCGATTCGACAAAAACAGTGAAAAAATTCCGACTAATTTACGCAGGGAAATAGTCTGTACAAAGACAACATAAACCGCGGAATCGACGCAAACAAGACAGTCTGACTCAGGCATCGTTTTTTGGTGTAGCAACGAGCGTGGGATATACAAGAAACCTGGGTGGGTATCAAGGCCCAAAGATACAAGTATACGCGGACCACAATTAAACGAAGAGTTTATTCGCTTCCATCTGGGAGGTTTACAACCTCCGCCAAAGGAACTGCTCCGCTGCTCAGTTCCAACGGAACAACATTCCTCATGGAGAAATTGCGTATCTGAAGCACGGAGTCAAGTACTTCAGAGGTATACGTAACCGTTCATACACGGTCTTCCACACCATTTTTAATGGGCTTCTCTAAAATGGAAATCATTACAAACATGGAACTTCCCTCCAAGTATCAATCAAGAACCGTGTAAAGGCATTTCAACGGGAAAGCGCCGAGATCCACAGCGTTACCGGTCGAACACTTCGATTATGACGGCCCCGACTGACGGAAAAAATTACATCTCTGTTTCCGGCAACATGGCGGGGAGGCCAATTTCCACGCACCTCAAGTATTCGGCAACCATCCATCTCTACAAGCGAAATGTGATGCGACAACTCTGTGATAATCACTGAGGAATCCCGCTACTCCGCGTTGTTGGGAAAATCGTTGCTGCGCCCTATCAGCCACATACATCGCAACTACCAGCAATGTGGACACGTTCCCGATATTTACCCACTGCTATCGCGCCTTCATATTACACAACGTCCCGGTTTTTTACCTGCGAGTCCATCCCATTGAGACCGGCGAACCAGTGACAGATATGTCGGCATGCATGTATTGCATATGCTTCAACTACCCAGAGAGCCCACGGATAGTCAGTCGCGAATGAGCCTACCCCGTCGAATGCGCCTTTATATAAACCTCCGTCAAGATGCCCCAAGCCCAACTACATCACCACACCTCTCCATAACAGTCCCACAGCGCACCTGTTTTAAGTCAACTATCTCGGACACGAAATAGACACCTCTCACATATGTGGGTAGCGTGCTTTTGGCTCCTCCACCATGTGCTCCCTGCGACACTCCCACACATGTGGAATCCGAGTATCCCGCCCCCTTATATGAAATCCTGGTCAGGTCGTCTGTGGCATGCGCGGGCGGGCTATTAAGCTATCGGCCATTTGCGTCAAATCAGCGCCAGGTGAAAGAAGTAGCAGTTTCAACGGCGGAGTTAATAATAGATTACCGAGCCTCGATACACAAAACATTGCACGAGTAGATTCCATCCCGGGGCCTATTTAAAACTCTTATCGGGAGTGATATTTGACCAATACACTGCCCATTATATGCAGATTTATCACATGTACAGTCCCAATGTTTGACGCCAGGACACACTCCATCCCTATGTAAGTGCGAGGACCAAAATGGCAAGTCACGAATTACCGTGTAATCAGTTTTAAAGGCATTTTGGCGAAAAATGCGGTTGCAATTAAAATGCTTGCCTTCATGCTTTCCTAGGAAAACGAAAACTTTCACTATCAATTAAAAAAGATTTGCCGAAGACAAATTACACCTGAGCAAGCTACTAGTTACGTTGAAATTTCTGACCTGGAACCCTGATAATGGTGATTTATGAAAACGAAATATGGCAAACCGTAATTTAAAACAGCATAAGCTTCTTCACTTGAACTTTTACAAAGGTTTCATTGTGGAAATCTGATCCTTCCAAGCTAATCAAACTTTTAGAGTGTTATCGAAAGTCTGCACGTCGCCCGAACTATCCGCTGGTATTGACATTAGACAATAACTCATGTTAGAGCAACTGCTTCTTTTGGTTTCTTTAAATAACTCGTGGAACTTATTTCAAAATAATTTTAAACCAGAAAAATGACCAAGCATCCTTTCAGGGCTGCATTTCTTGCGATTAACTGTGACAAACCTCTGTTGTAGTCGCGATAACAGACTTCACCCTAACTGACCTTGGTTTGGCTAACATTTCCTGTCCCTTGATTGCCCACGCCGAGGTGTTAGTCCCGCCTGGTAAGACCTTTTCACCAATGGACATTATAAGCTTAGTTGACTGGCCGCAGACGAGCATGACTAATGTGCACTCACACGACTCACATCGCGATTAACGACAATAACGGCTGGCTACTTTCGTGAGGGACGAATACATTCCTTGGCTTCAGGCAGTTTGCGCATTCGTGATCAGAGTAAACACTGCTCTGTTAATTTCGTATTAGTGACTTTTTGATTGGGATAATCATTCGATTCACAAGTGTTATCTCTCTGTAAATTGGAGGAAAATTATGTTTGACTTAGTTATTCCAAGTCATCCTCGCTATTCCCACACGCACGCTCTCCGTAGGACCCACATAATGAATCAGCATTCATGTGTTTTGGAAATGTATTTGAAAACTGGAAATTTTTGAGCAATCCTTAGGGATTGTTGAAAAAAACTAACCTCCTACTTACTATAATGCCTTTACAGAGCTTGGCTAACAAGACGTAAGTATGCCTTGTAAATATGTTGCCTTACCTCAGCTCGTGCACTACTCATTGGAACGGTTACGCTACATCTTCTTCGACATTTAAGACCTTAATAAATCTCAGCGCCAAGCAAGGAAAGTCTTATACATACTGTGACATCCATGTACTGTAATATGCCTTTAAAAACCAAATTTTCCTATTTTATTCACCGATTTACAAAGGTCGACCTTACTGGAGCAGGAGGAAATTTAACACGCTCAAGAATGCTGGTATAAAAGTCTCTGAGCGCAACTACAAATTGTGCCATCACGGTTTTTGCAACCTTCAGTCGAAAGTAGGAGTTGGCCGATAATTTTTACTCCGGCTGACTAGCCGCTGAAACAGGTCACGTGACAGTGTAGTTAATGCCTCCACAAGTTTATTCCCTAGGAACCACTCGGCTCGCACCGCCAATCAACTCATCACATAGATGCTTGGGGATGCAGACTAGATCCTGCAGCTAAATTCAGTAAGAACTGCGAATGCACCAGTTCACTTTATCAATAAGCAAAATGACGAATGTATCCTTCGAATTTGAGGATAGCGGCATCTAAGGAATTTTATTGATGTATGTGTTTCTCGGTTGTTTATCATTCAGCCTCTTTTGTTTACGTTTACTTCGAGGGCACGTAATTTTCTTCGACCTGCCTGCACTTGTCGTTATGTCGACCTTATGGTTTCTTCGTGTCTTTTTCCTACTGTTTAAGATGCTTCGCCACCGACGTTATTGCAGTTGCAAATTTTCCTGATACGATTCTGTAAACACATCGTTACTTTGTGTTGTGACTCGTGGAAGTAATTTTCTGGGACTTTTAGGCAACTGAATAAGAAATTATGTCTTCGAGCGCATACTATACAATGTTAACGGAGGACCGTCACCAGGTTCGGAGTCCGAGATAATATTCCGCAGTGTGAATGTTTTCTGCTAGCTTCGTTTTGCGAAAAAAATCATGTTTTGATTGAAGCTGCCATGTCGATTAAAGTTGCATTGAACTATATGGCTATTAAACACCCTACATGCTGATTGTTTTATTTCACACGTAATTCGCCGCGCGCGCCTCACAGTTTTTTCCGAAGCGTGGTTGGGTAAGGTCTTTGCCTTCTTCGTGATTTGTCTGCTTAGTCTCGCGCACCATGAAGATTATTAAGACCACAGAATCCGTCAAAGTTCCTAAGGGGGTCAAAGTTACGGTTCGTTCCCGTGTTGTCACTGTAAAGGGCAAACGAGGGACTCTCCGCAAGGATTTCAAACACCTGGCCCTAGACATCAAGGCGGGTACCCGCGCTGTGCATGTCACCAAATATTTTGGAATACGTAAGGAGCTCGCAGCCGTTCGGACCGTGTGCACACACATCGAAAACATGATTAAAGGTGTCCAGTACGGTTATCGATACAAGCTGAACTCCCTACATGCTCACTTCCCCATCAATATCATCATCGGCGCCGACGGATCTAGGGTTTCTATTAAGAATTTCCTTGGTGAGAAGACAACCCGTGAGATTAAGATGTTCCCTGGCATCAAGGCTATCAGTGGCGGCACTCAGGACACTCTCCAAATCGAGGGAAACGACGTGGAGTTAGTATCCAAGGCCGGTAGGTGATTCTTCACTCATCTATTTTCACTTCAGCCGCACTTATCCAACAGTCCTGCCAAGCTCGCCACAAGGATATCCGGAAGTTCTTGGACGGTGTTTATGTATCTCACAAGGGCACTATCGAGGAAATGGCATAAGTCTGTATAATATAGTGTGTTGTGGTACATCGAACAGTTTGTTGTTTCCCTATCGGGACCTCCTTTCGGGGTTAGGTATTTTTATTCATTAGGTATGTTACCCTTTGGCCTTTAGCAGCCTCGCGCACAGTCTTCATTTTTTTAACTCACCACAGCGTTTACGTTTTTCGGGCTTACTTTCCTAATCGTTGGACAAAACTCAAGCAACTAGAGCAGGTGCGGACGCAGTATCTAACAAAGCTCGACAGCCCGTTCACGCCTATTACAAGTGTTGTTCCAGGCTCTACACAAGCTTGGTCTCTGGGGTTCCGGATGCCGTGTGATCAAAAGCCCCTTAAAGGCAATCGTGAGCAGGACCCAATGGTCTCCTCAGTTGGCAGTCTTTCAGGCCACAACTGTTGCCGTTGCTCAATAATTAGGGAGTGCGTCTGTGATGACACCAAGCTCCTCACTCGGGCTGAGTCCCTTCCGCGTTCTTAGTGATCACTCCAGTTCTGACTTGGTGTGTCGCAAGCTGAGATTTCGGCACAGTCCGAGTGACGCACTCTATAAGTCGACGCGGCCTAGCTTTGCACAGCGGCATTGTAACTCAACCCATCTGCCGCAGAGATTCATATCCCTGAAATCGTAGTCGCTTCTACCGACCTGACAGCCCTTACGCGTGTGTATCCCCCGCCACTGTGCACCGCGTTGTGCGAATGTTAAGCCGTGCTCCGTAACTAGATGCTGTTTTATGTTTCTTTATCTCTACCCTCCTGAGACCGCATAACTGCCTGCATCAGTGGCATTCGGTGGGAGTTATTTCACAAGCGTTCTTGTTCTAGCCTCCGAGTTACGCTTAACCCATATCGTATTAAACTGTTTTTACCAGGCATCCTCACAAGTGGTTTTAACCATAAAAGTGGGTATTACGTCCTAGCTTGGGTGTATGAAAGCGGCATCCGGTTGCCGAGCGATACTAATTAACCTCGTGGAGAAATAAATCGTAAAAACTAAGCCGCCTCGGCCGGGAATGAGTACTAGTCTAATACTACAAAGCCTATCCGTGTTAATTGACTGTTGGTTCATTTTTTAGTTGGTTAGATAGAAACTTGGGACCAAGAGCGTGGGATACGTCGGCACGCGTTATGTGTAGCCGTTGTTGGTCTCCCAGACGGTCTATGGCGTGTGTGATTTTTGACCGACTCTTGGCGCTATACGGATTCCAGTGTTAGCGTTGTTTTTCATTATGAGCCGGCTGTCGTGCACAAAGGTGAAAAAATCGGGCTAGGTCAACTGAGGCACGACAAGTAACGATCAAATGAACAGTACCCAAGTAGTCTGGTCTACAGAGGAGTTAAGTTTGTGTACACGTCACTCTTCAACCTAAATTTCGTTCTAGAAAGGAGCCACTATTCCGAGACCAGCCGTGATTCTGCACATTCTAGTGCGTTTTTTCGAGTCGCTGTAAAGAGGGCTGCCAACCACCATTTAGCCTTCGAGACCGTCTTCCAGTCAAGGTTTCGTGTGGCACCATCACCTCGCTGACTAGCTTTCGGCACTGACTGGGCACGCCTTAGGGCTACTCACTATCCTTTACTCTATTGCCGCCGCCGCAACATGTCTCCTACCCAACAGACGTTCCAAAACGTCAAATTATATTCATATGCGCGACATCTGGTTTTCGGAAGGCGTATACGCTGTATTGGATCATGCTCCCTTACATACTGACAGGAGTGGTAGTGAGTCCGATTGGAATTTTGTTTGGGGAAAACAGGAACTGCATATACCAAAAATCCCGAGACAGTATTCTAACGCTGGTGGACACGCTCACCTCCCAAATATCTTTTAGCGACATTCGGGCAAGTACCGAGGGGACTGTGCTCTTATGCCCCCTCAGCTTCCTGCTATCCGCTCAGAGGACTTGCCATCTGCCTCGCCCTGGATACTTAGGCCTAAAGGTCATTAAGCATGGATCGATGTCCTTAGACATACCTGTTGGCTATTCTGAATTACAATCCTGATGTTCTCACGAATATCAGGTGTTTCCGCTGCTGGGGTACAGTTGACCAGAAGAAAGGTATGAAGACAATGAACTCTACAGCGCTACGCACCGATGGTGAGAACGCCATATGACCACTGCAGTTGGTGTAATTTGTACACAGACGCGGCCTGGTGTTTGCGGACTACAATTCATTCATTTAGAGATGTTGAAAAAAAAGAGAAAGGATAGCTACCTCCGACTTATGTACTGTCCTCAGCCAACCATACTTCAAATTTTGGTCGAGCAGTCCTCAGTCAGTCATCCGGTCCTACAGTGGGTTGTTTTGTGGGAGCCGCACCCGCGTGACTACCACAGTCACACGGTGTGGGGTCTAATTCTACTTGTCTTGACCCTAAGCCTTGTTGGATTAGCCCACCTGACCTGACGGCATCACATGCTGTGCCGTGTGACCACTGTTTGCGGTCGTAACAACCGTTGAACAGTCGGCATTCCGTCCTTAAACTCCAGTGACTGTCGGGCCTTACAGGTCCGACCCAGCTACGTACATCTGCCCACCTTTTTTTGGTCATTACCACAGCAGCGGTGCCGATCCAGGTGTGGATTTAGGGATATGGCGCCACTGACGAGCCACATTTCAGGTCGCCTGATTGGATGACCAAACCTCCATGGGCGCGGGCTTTTTGTCGCTGCATGATCTGTGGGGGTCCACGTTCTGGATATTGTCTGTGGGTCGAGTTCGCATTGCGCACACGGGTCACCAGTTCCCAAGCATCCCTATTTTTCTCAGTGGCGGAGTGAGGCTAAGTTACGCAAACGCAGAGCAGCAGGACTCCGACTACAACTCTGCGCTTCCGTTTTCATCTTCAGGAACTCACGGCACGATCGTATACACTCAGGCCACCCGGTTATGCTCTGTGCAAGTCGCATGCAATTGCTTCTCGACATTTACATGTCTGTCGCAATGGGACGAGGTCTGCAAAACGGTCGAGCTTCTTGTTGTAGCTCGGACCGTAGCAAGCACGCGAGAAAGCACGAACAGAGCGGGACCCAAGAATCAGAATGAAGTATACCTTGTAACACGGCTTTATTTGTCTCACAATTGACGTACTGGAACTAAAACGAGAAATAGAACAGTAGTAGATAAGGTAGAATTTTGCTGGGGCTTAAGTTAGTATGACAGCAAATAAAGGGGACGAGGTGTTGAAAAATCGCAAGAGGCCTGCATGTGGTGAAGTTTAAGCGTATTTGTTACGAAGACGGCGTGGATGAACACGATGTTGGACCAGTATTTCTAAGCCATGTATATGAATATCGCTCGCTTTAGGTACACTGACAGGTGTTGCATCATTCTGTTTGTCAGTCAAAGTGGTGCTACTTTACTTCTCAGTAATACGTGGATGGACGGGGGAAAATGGAATGGAATTTTCAGGTCGGGGCGTAGCCGCCTCCTGATGACCGATATCCATTTCACCTCTGGGAGCGAGTAGTCAGCCGGATACAGTCTCTTCTCTGCCACTGCGTCATTTAGAGTGGGTTCCCGGTGCGTGACAGGCAAACCTTGGGATTCGAAAGTTAGATAGTCTTCCACAAACTTTGGTTCGGACGCTCGACCTGCCCATTTCCCTGGTGATTGTGCGGGGTCATCCTACTCGTCGCCACTCCCTTATTGCACAAGGATTTCTGAACTTGGTTTGGCATAGATGACGAACCTCGACCGGTGTGTATGTAGGAAGGAGTACCGAATATGGAAAAGAGCTGACAAACATTTGATGTCAGTTTCGGCAGTCTGATCAGGACAGGCAAATGCAAATGGGAAACGAGAATATTCATCAATAATCGTCAGCAGACAGCGGCTGTGGGTTACCGACGGAAGTAGACATTTGAAGTCGATTGACAATCGTTCGGACGGCTGGCCAGCTCTGATGAGTTGGCCTCATGCTTTAAAGAAACGGGGTTTGACTTCGCAGCAGGTTGGGAATTTAGCGACGTCTCTTCCATCGAAAAGAGACGATTCCGAGCTCAACCAAAGTGCGGCAGCCGGGAGATACCGGGATGACAGTGACTCGGGTCGACGCTGGTTAGCAGGACCCTGCAGCAACTAAGGGGAAGCGTATCCGCTGCTCGATTTTCTTTGCCAGGTCGGTGGACAATGTAAAATTTGAACGGTGAGAGCTCCAACCCTCCAACGTTCGATATTATCATTTCTGACCGTCCCTTTTTGCTGATTGCCGAAGATGAAAGGTAACAGAACGCTGATCTGTGAGGAGTTTAAAGTGATTACAAAGGAAGAAGTGCTCTCATTTGTGTATGAGTCGCACAACGGCGTATGCTTCTATATAACTGAATGATGTCGCTCATTTGGAGAAAGACTACTTGAAAAGAACGCTATTGGTCAGCCATTCTGATTCAGTGTGGCAGCGATGGAAACGTCTGAAACAGTCTCGACAGCCAGTGGGGTATCCTATTGAACAGTGGCCACTGTGGCTGTTGCGAGTACTTAAGAGCCTCAAATGCTTCCATTATCTTCAATGGCAAAGAGGGAGTATTGTTACGAATGAGCAGAAAAATGAGATATACATTATGAGTAGTATGCGAACAGTCCCACAGCTTGTTGTTGAGACCAAAGGTCGTGCGGAGGAGCCATCTCACGCAAAGGCCTTAGAGGATTCGGATCCGGTCTAGTGTCGCCCCTGAGTATCTCGTAACCAGGAGGTTTATTTTTTTTTAGCAGTAACAACACTTTGGGCCCCATTGAACGTTAGTCCATACTTTTCGACCACGCTAAGGAATTTTCAAAGGGTTCATTCATGCTCCTTAAGGCCGTTCTCATGAGTAATGATATTGTCCAAGTAGACGAAAATATTCATTGGACGCTCCCGCCTAATTATTGTCATCGATGGTCCGCTGGAAGCGCGCAACCCCATTGGTCATACCGAACGGGATACGACAAAACTGATATAGACGTCCACAAGTCTCAAAGGCGGTGTATCCGGATGGTTATTTGATGATAGGCTCC